CCCTAAATTTTGTAATCGGAAAAAAAATGCCCCCCCCCTCCGCCCCCCCGAAAATTTCTGGTTTTTCAAGCTCTAGAAAAAAACGAAAAAATTTCGGCAGCCCCGGGGTTTGGGCATATCATTTTAGTGGAGAAAACTCCCGCGCTCCCCTTCCCCCCCCCCCTCTGCTCCTCACCCATACACGGCACCCCCCCGGACGTCACCCCCCCCCCCCTCCCCCGTTGTTTCTCCAGTCTACCTTGGCTTCGGCGATATCGACCGTGCAAGCCCAGATCCATCTCTCGGAGCCCAAGATGTACATGTTCGACCTCGAGGCCAACCCGTCGGAGAGCGTCGTCGAGGGCTGCGGCACCGACAGAGCGCTGGGTCCGGTGGAGTCCTGCGCCAACCTGTACAGTATACCGGCCTTCCGGGACGCACGCAAGAAGCTCGAGGGCATCATAAGGAAGGCCGACCGGGAGTCGGTGGCGCCGACGCTGCGGTGGGAAGACGACGGGCCGCTAGCGGACCCGAGCAACTGGGGTGGGTGGGTGCCGTGGAGAGACAGCAGCGGGGTCCCGCTGGCCTTGTACGGCGGGGTAGAAGTCGATGGTGCGCCGGAAGCGCAGCAGCAGCAGGGGGCGGTGTTTGCCGGGTACGCGGGGGAAGCGGCGGGCGGGGACGCCATCACGGTGACCTCGTCGTACGCGAGATTTTTGGCCATGGTCGTGTCGATGGTCGCCGCTGGGTCGGTGGTAGTGGCGTATCGCGCGGGTCAGCGGAGCGGGTACAAGGTGTTGCGGTAGGCGGCACGAGCGAACCCGTAGGCGCTATTGATAGGCTTTTTGCTCTCAAGGTGGAAGCAAGCTATCGTGCTAGATACGGCTTACCTTATCTGTGGGTGTCTTGTTTGTACATAGGATTAACTGCTTTGTTGTGTGTTTCAGTTTAAATATTTTTTGGTGCCGACTGCTGTATGACGGCAACATGGCAAAGACGGTAACATTGCAAAGCGTCGAGGCTTTCCTTCTCTTTTTTGCCCGATATCCTGCCGTTTTTTCTTTGACCGTCAACTCAGAGAATCGATCGAAAATCGATCGGGCTTTGTTTTTTTGTGCGCGTTCTACAGCAGTTCATTCGTCCTTTTCGCTGTGCTACCGTCGAGTCGATAGTGTTTTATGTGAACAGGTTGTGTTGTTTTGTACATTTTTTGTTGTCTTGTGTGGCCACACGCCGTCGGTGTGAGCTACCATACACACTACGTAGAGGCTCTCAAGAGTGCTATTGAGCTGATCGAGAGAGCGTTCGTCCCTCATGCCCGGTCGCGTTGTCTTGTATCGACTTCGGGGTGTACTAATATAATACCCTCTTTTTTCTCTTTTGCCTAGCGTCTATTTTTGGTTAGAAAGAAGAGTTACGTTGAGCGCTCTGTCGGCTTAGTGGTGCATTTGCCCCTTGGTTGTTGGCGTTCCGCAGATGTGTACCTGCAGCGGTCAGACCTGCTGCTGATGCCGCATTGCCATCATGAATCAATCGCTGTCTGTACCTGCAACTGATCTATCGTTCGTTGGTCTCGTAGATTGACCCAGATATTCTCACACGCGCATCGCTGTGAGAGGGCCAGCTTTTGTTCTTTCGACAAGCATCTACATCAATCTGTTTTTTTTCGACAACCGTGATCATCTCGTGTTAACACCCGCTCAAGTTTCACAGCGGCACACCTCGAAATGGTTGTGCCAGGCTTTGTCGTTCTCTGTGCGCACCTCAAAACGCCAACGAGCGTCTTGAAAGTATCCATAGGGAATTTAGGGAACTCGGCATACGGTTGATTGCACGTAGCATCACCAGTCATGATACATCTCTGCAAAAGATTTTTAGCTCGTGGGGGATAGCACACTGCGTCTGCGCCAAGATGCGCTGCAGACAGAATCCCGAGTTTATCGCCACGGAATCTTGCGAAACTGCTCAACACCACTTGGCACGCACGTCCTCATAGCCAGCGCGATGCGCTTGTCGCACAAGATGACCCTGAAATGGGGTGCGTTCTTTCACCAGGTGCGTTCTTTTAAGAAGCGCCTTTGCGTCTCGGTCTGCCCCTCTGCTTGCTACAACTATCACTGTTCCAGACCACAGTCAGCCGAGTGTGCACATTACACGGAAATGCGATTTTGTCGCGTGTACGACATACATACGGAGTACGGCGCTCGCAAAAACGCACCGCATTAACTACCTGCTGTAAAGCACGAACAAAAGAAAAGGAGTTTGGGCTAATCGTGCGGCAGCACACCAACTGCTCCATCAATATCTCCTTTACTAGGCCCGGTGTAAAACGTTGGGACCATTCATTCAGGCCGCGTGCATAACGTCCACCAACGAATCTTTGTCCTTGATTCCTCTCTTCACAGCGAACTCCCGAAGCAAACCTGGAAAGATCATGGGTGTGTGCATGTGGGCAAAAAAAAACTGGTTGGTTGGGCGCTGCATTGGTTTGATGAGCAACCACGCATCTCTTTGGAGACGGGCCAACAGTTCTTACCCCTATTTTTCGAGACTCCGCCAACATGGACACTCGGACGTTCGTAATTTCTGCCGAGTGCACATGATGCTCTTCCTCATCGAATATCTTCTTCTTGGCGCTGCTGATCATCATTCATCTCCTACCAATCATTCCCACTCGATTTGCGAGGCTAAACCAACCCGAACAAGAAGCAACCAAAGCGTCACTGACCAAGCCAACATAATCACTAATGCCGAATCTGCCCTTCGTGTACAACATGCGGTGGTACAACGGGATCCAAATCTATCTAGGTTTCCCGGGCAAGCCTCCAAATCCCGCTGACCTTTGGTCTTGTAGAAGTCGATGAGGGGTGCTGTCGCGGAACGATAGACCAACAGCCTGTGCGAAACACATGTGTGTGCGCGCCGGCACAGGTAGCGAAAGGATCGAACAGGATTCTCATTGATGGTGTTCTTGAAACGGTTGAGCATACAGGATTGCGACTTCGAGGCGGCATACACGCTCGCAGACTGAAAGTCCTCACGGTAAACACAGGAAATGGCAAGGGTGGCGGTATTGGTAATCGAAAACGCAACGCGGGAGTTCCGTTACCGTTCAGGCGGCTGTGCGGCTAAGGTTTGAATCGCCCGGACATGGGGCGGGGTATACCGTCCAGTGGCGGTTTGAGATGGTCTCCACGACAATCACTTGCTCTTCCGGTGTCGTTTCTTTCGTCGATTCCAAACATCGCTTCAGAGAAAAGCGATCAGCATTCTCGCCAAAACAAATCCCGCCCCCCGCAGGGGCCCAGTCAGGCACAACGCACGTGACTCTACGCCGTTCAGCAGAACACCCCCCCCCCCACCCCCCCGGTGTACGTCCTCTGGAGGACAATGGTCTAACCACGGAGGCATGCGAAACACGAGCACACCAACCCGTTGGATGCAAGGTGTTACGCGTCGCATGTGCTATGCAAAATTTATCGTGGTCACATCGGTGGCGGCGGCGGCGGCGGCACCTGTCGCGGATGATGTCTTCGGTGTCGTCCTCCCGTCTCTCCAGGTTCTCGAGCGACCCGGGACACCGCGAGCCCCTGTCGCAGCCCTCGAAGTCCGGTAGGATCATGGGCATCACGTAGCCGTCTGATCTCTCTCGCGCGCGGCACAAGTTACAGCCGCGTACGACGACGCGATCAGGGGAGGTCCGAACGGAGGAATAGCGGTTTCCGCGGAATGATGGCGAGGAACATGGACGGACCATGTCCCAAAATGGAGGCAAGGGGGATTCCGAGGGGGGGATTGGGGAAGACACGAGCGGATGCTCAGGCATCGAAAGCCGACAAGGACGGGTCGCGTGGTGGTTGCTTGCGGCTTTGCTTTTGGGACGATGACGTCTTGGACGCACAACTTCGCGCATGTTGCGGAATGGTTGCTGACACAAGCATCAGTCAGGACAACGACTACAGTACCCACGACGGGCACAATGACCCCCGACCCTTCTGATTCGTATCGCACTCTGCCGACGTAGTCTTGAGGTTTTCGTGCGACTTGTCTCTTCTTTGTCAAAACTTGGGAGCCTTAGCTTGGTTCGATATGGTGTGCCAATTGAGTTCTCCTATACTCGGCCCTTGTCGTATTGTTTTCGAAAGAAAATTTGCGCGTTGACCGTTCAAGCTTTTCTCAAGGTATCAAACACCAAGAGGCTTTTATCACTTGACCCCTTCGCATACCTTTGTTGACGTCAGCGATGTTGAAACTCCTTCGGCACTCTGGACAGCTACGTCGCGCGGAGATTTTCTTCACCGTTATCCACTCGGGAAGGGTGATATTGATCACTCTGTCTATCTTGATACCTGCCTGTTTCGCGGGAACCACACAATCATTCGGTGCAGAAGAAGCCAGGGCCAACAAACGCGTGAACCGCAAGCTTTTCGAAGCATGTTCTCCGAGGCATTTGGTTCCATGACGCACCCACCGCCTTCTACTATCATCTCATTGTCGTTGCAAAAGGCACCTATCTACTTCACATTCATCCGTGGTAAAAACCAAGCTCGGGCGACGTGTTACGCTCAGAAGGAAACCATGTTCAATTTGAAGGTGATCTTCGATAAGAGTCCCATCTCCCCAACGTCTGTCAAGGACATTTCCCTCTGTTCACACCAACCCCAGAACAACACACTAGAGGTCGCGTCTACGCGGGCTACTCTGTGAAAACGGGGGGCAACAACAACCGCCGCAATGCGTCCTCCGCGACAAACACCGCGTCTTCACCGCATGACCTACCCCCGCCGCCGCCGCAAGGGAAGGGCTAAGAACGCGCAAACTCACCGATTCAAGCCATGCCGCCTGCGCCAAGTTCCTCGGGAAGCCGTCCTGTCAGCAAGCAGCACGAAAAACACCCCAAGAGGCGTAAAATACCAACCCAGAAGAGAAGCAATTCACTCATTCGCGCCGCGAGAACCGAAGGGATCCAGACACAGCCAGCCGCTGCCTTCTTCTCAAACGCCTCTTGGTTCTTGATGGCCCAAACGGAAAAAGAACCACCGCACCTGCTCTTCCTTAAGCAGGCAGGGCGTACCAATTGGACCCGGGCTCAAAGAATCGACCTACGTCTTGCAGAGGACTCTGTTGTCGGAGGATGAGCCGCAGCCGCCGGTGGGCCATAAACAGGCCGCAATTCTTTTGTCAGAACAAGGCGGATGGAACCACAATTCTATTCATTACTCCAAACACGGTGTGCTTCCCGCACGGCACCAGGAGAACGAACAGTGACAAAATCAGACCAAGAAAGGCCAACGGACAGAGCGCGCTCTCACCAGAATGAACCCCTGAGACGCGTCCGCTTGTTCAACGCGTCTTCTTACCTGCGGCGGGAGTGTTGTGCAGAGAAAAACGAAGAAGCCCACGAGAAAACACGGGAGGAAAAGTGCGGGAGTGCTTGCTACCCCGCAAGATCGAGCGCGGAATAACGTGCGTGAGTGCGGCAGGCGCCGTCACGGAAAAAAAAACAGCCTTCCAACCACGCATCCTAGGGTGGGTACCGGTGCTACTCTGCTGTTCCGACAAGCGTCGCCGCCGCGCGGCATACGCATCTGAGATCCAAGTTCTTAAGCAAGAAGCCCCACTGTGCTTTTCCAACAACCGGGAACATGTAGCTCACGGTAGCCAGGGGTCAGACAACCATACTGACTGTCTGTCGTACCGGGCAGTATGCTATCGCGTTGTCTCTAGACTACTATCACAACCGTTGACCGTGCGCTATGCATATGACAGCAGCAGCAGCAGCATCGTTGAGCAGAAGACCACCGAAAACACGAACGGTAACGTTGGGCCGCACGCGGTACGTCCATGTATCTGCCACACACACATTCTACAACAATGCGCGATGGAGAGAGGTAAGCTCGGTGTTGTGAGACTGATGGTAGTGGGAGAAGCCGGCCAGCGCTATGCACGACCCCGCATCTCTCGTCCATGGCTTTGGGCACACACCTGGACAGCACCAACACGGGGCATGTAGCAAAGGAGGAGGTGTGCCGTGCACATCAAACCGAGTACTCACCAAGTTGTTGACGACCTCGTCCGGTGCGAGCTGGCCCTTGTCAGAAAACGCCTGAAAATCGTCGAAGAACCGCAAGGACAATTGCGCACACACACGCGCAGATCATGGTCTTTAGCAAATGCTTTCTGTTTCCAGCCGCGCTGAGACTGACGTATTTTTCATTGGCTAACGCGGCCGATGCCAAAAATGAAGACACACGCATAAGCGCGCACTGACACGCAAGGAACGTGCAAGATGGGACAGTTGGCCAGCACACCGCCATCGGCACTACTGGTGGGCCTTGTTGGCAGCACACCCTACCCATGTTGCTTAACATTTACTTTGCAGCAGAAGTTTTGAACTTGTTCGAACTTCCACCTGCAGCCTTAATTGTACAACTCCTCTTCTGATAGTGCTTCCCTGATGCTCGTAAATGGAAAATGGTGGGCATGTGGTGATGTTGAATCTAATAAATACTTCTTCGTATGCAAGGGACGCTATACAGCACCCCACATGTCGAAACCCTCCCAAAAACAAGCTAATGGGAAGCTTCGAGCCTTCGAACGTGGGGCGACAGAAAGTGGGAGGTGTCTCCGCCACCGTTGATGCTTGTCGCGAGTCCGTGTGTGTTACAAGTATGCTGAACGTGATCATGGATGCGGCGGTGACAACACCAAAACAGCGGATGCCTTCACACCGAAAACAGAACTCGCCAGCAAATAACAAGCACAGCAGGTACAGAAGTTTGTCCATCAGGCTGAGTATGTTTATTCGAGCCGTGGAACATGTAGCTCAGCGACGGTTGGATGATACACTCAACTCCAGTCTATGTCAGTAAGAACCCGCGCTCGACGGTGGCGACGAAATGTGAAATTGACCCTCGACCCGAAGTTGACATGTCGTACATGATATCTCCGGACGCCAGCTCTGTGTTCAAGTCTTCTCCAAGAAGTATTGATTACACTTGTACAAGACCACATGCTTTGGCCGTACCTTGATTTCCTTGCCCACGGCGGTGCCTCGTTTCACCTCCTCTCTCACCAAATCCCCTGCCCCAATAGTTGCTAGGCCCTGAGAGTTAAAGCGGCATGCAAAGAGGATTCTGGTCAGACGAGGGCAGCATCGGGTATCCTGCAAGTATGCTGGACAACCGTGGACAGGGGACGCCGCGCGCATACTACAGAGCACTGTACATGTGGGGCACAGCAGCAGCCAGTAGGACGCAATTGGAACGTGGTCGACATCTCGATGGCGCTATTGTTCGTACCAACTGGGGCCCTAGGATGGACGCAAACGATCCTTTCCCGACACCTGGAGCTCCCAGAAAGACGAAGCGGTTCATGGTCCACAGCAGCCCACTCGCTCGAGAGGTGTTACATCAGCAAGCAGCTGTTCAAACATTGCTTGGCGGGATTCGGAATTCGGAAACTCGTAAGCAGGAACTGGTTCCATGAAAAGAGAACCGGTTCGCCTTCCGGCTACGAAACCTCGATGTTGTCCCCAGCCAAGAGAGCACGCCACACGATGATATTTTACTGTAGGTACTTTGAGGTCGCGGGCACCACACCACAACGCCAGTGATAGACAGTCGTACCCAGCACGGCCCAGCCCTGCACTCGTCCGTCTATGGTCACTCCTTCCTCTTACTACTTACTACTGCTGACAACGGGAGGTGGGTGTCATGTTCCGTGTTCCAACCACCATTATTTCCCGGGGAGCTCGAAAAGCAAGGGCGCGGACGCCTCTCTCGTTTATAATGAGCCACCCGTACCCTCTTTGGCTTTCGTTGTTCGTAGTGCGCGTGCTGGAACACTCCGCCTCTCCGTCTGTGATATGTCAAGCTGTGTGTATACTGTAGAGGATTGGCACCGGCGGTACAATTTTGGTTTTCCCCCTTCTGCGCGAATGTTGCTCCATTGCCAAGACTTGCTGTAACAGAGACCAGAAAACAACGTACAGCGCTCCAGCAGTCCATCCAGCCTCGGATAGACCTGCACGAGGACCGCATACCACTCACCAACAACCTAGGCTTGCTCCCGCCCCCCACTGACCCGCCCATGGCAGCTGCCCGCGCCCATAGCAACGTGCAACAGTATCCTACAGCCAAGACAGGACGGCATGATCACCGACCTACAGCCTGATGTTGCCCAAAAATGGAAAAAATAAAACCCAATGGCTACAAAGAGGTTGACGGCCCACAGAACTACTGCTGTCTGTGTGCATGCATGGCTTGCAGCAAGCACATAGACGAGTTACGTCCAATTTGGACGTCCAACGTGTGCAGAAGCCAGACAGCAGATACACAAAGTTGTGTTGCAACCTGCTACGTTTTCGGTTCGCTCTTTGTATGTAGCTTTTGGTCTCATGTTCCAAACAATTACATGTACATCTACAGTATTTGCGGCATTGTCGTACCGATGTTGTTGCCATCCGTATACGCGTCTTCCACCTTTGGAAGTAGCCGCTGTCGTCTCGATACGATATCTGCGGCATTGCCGCGCCCATGTTTGTTTCCATCCGTACGCGTCTTCCACATTTGTAAAGCTTGCCGTATAAAGTACGTGCTCTTGACGTCTGTTTGTATGTAGCTTGCTGTCTTCTACGCGTACCTCGGGTGTAAAGGAGTGCCCCATTGCAGAAGAGTGTGGCATACCCTTCATACAAGTTCGTATACCTTTCGTGTTCATCGCACCACGAGGCCTACCTACTACGGTTTTGTGGTGCCGATGCCAACAGGATCATCCTCCCTTGTTTTGGAAGTAGCTCGCCGTGTCAGTACATGTTTGGTCTTCGATTTTTTTTTATGTACCTTCGGTTTGCGTTTTTTCTACGTAGCTCGGTTTCATCGCCCTACGAGACCTGTGGTTTTGGATTGTCGATATTTCCGGAGCACAAATACAGGATCGTCTTCCACGGTCTTCGTAGTAAGTACCTCGCGTATCAGTCTGTAGGAAACTTCAGTTTACCTATTTTTTACATATCTTTCGGTTTCACAAAGAACTTCTCACAATACCAACATTTCTTCGTTCCTCTCCTCCCAAAACTCAACCCACGCACACTGACCATCGCCATACAACCTACGAGCGCAGTGGCGGCCACCGATAGTAGTCGTCCGCGAAGCGCCCTTGTATAGTGTGTGCATATTCTACACCGCTGCGGCCATCGCAGGCAATTCCAACTCGTCGTTCAAGTATTCCGACTTAGCCGTTCATCTATCGCGTGGATCGTGCGCGTGTATGCGTGACTGAAGGAGGTCTACGTGTGTGGTAAGACTAGGGTTAGGAGGAAGCCTCGCCGTGTACCAGGCTGCAGTAGATGGATGTACGACAATCGGCATGGCTCCCCCTCACCCCAGTTCACTTAGTCTCGCACGGCATCATGCACAACTATAGTTCACCCTCTACCTGTTGCGTACATGTGTTGCAGGTTCCCGCCTGATTAGGAGGGCAAAGGTAACGTCCCTGGCCAACTCCGTCGATTGGCTATCTATATAGGCAATGGCTTCAGCGACGGCAACACAGCTTCGTTCATACTCCTCGGATCGGGCGGAGCGGGAGAGGTTCACGCTCGCCAGGATCGTTGTAGGGATGGCCTTGGCGGAGGGGATCTCAGGAGGGCTCTGCCATAACCCACTGAGCACATTGATGGCTTCATATGCTTGGGTCAGTCGGGTCGCCGGACAACATTGCGGGCCCTGGTGAGTGCGTGCTGTTCTGTCTCTGGTTGCATGGAAGGTCTGGGTACCAGCCGTTGTGAAGTACGCTCGGGTTGGGATGTGCCTGAACGTGTTTGCTCTCACCGCACTCTCTCTCTCTCTCTCTCTCTCTCTCTCTCTCTCTCTCTCTCTCTCTCTCTCTCTCTCTCTCTCTCTCTCTTCTCCTTGGCTGTGTGTGGGTGTAGTGCTTTCTTTTCTTTTTTCTTGCTAGCACCGATCGCGCAAATGGGCTGACCAATGAAAAGACGTTAGTCTCAGTGCGGTTTGAAAACACAAAACACTTCTAAATGCCATTAACTGGGACCCCGTGAGGGGGCGGCGTGAGGGAGGCTGAGCTATTCTCCGGATCAAGGACAGAAACGGTACCAACAGAAGAATACTGCGCGCGTCTATGAAGGCTGCTACCTTGCACTTGAGTTCGTTTTGGAGTGCTTTCACCATCATCTCCTTGCTTTAACTCCCATCGTTCTCATCATCAGTTTGACAGCAACTTTTCGACATTTCTTCTCTGGCCCTGCGTCGTTTGTGGTGGGGAAGGTCATCTCTGTGTGTTTTTATTATTATCATCATCGACCGCGCTAACCGGTTGACCAATGAAAAGACGTCAGTCTTTGTGCGGTCGAAAACACAAAACACTTTTAAATGCCATTAGCTGGGAGCCCATGATGGGGCGGCATGGGGGGGGGGTACTCTTATGTTTTGCATGCCTTAGACCATTGACCACGCGTCCTCTAGAGGACGGAGCATTGTTCCCACAGGACCGATCACCGATGGCCAATCGTTCCTTCCTACTTTGCCAAAGGTGGCTCAAATATGTCTTCCCTAGTCTATCTATCCTAACAATATCCCTTCCCGCCTTTTCAAACCACTTCCTGCTCCCCAGTACAGCTACCGTCCTCTCCTCTCTATTCCATGCCTCAAACATCTACCTGTACCTCCCTTCTATTTTTCCCAGCTCAGTCATGTACACTCCCCTCTCCTCTTCGTACCACGGACATTCCGCGACTACATGAACACGGTCTTCGCATTCGAAGCCGCAATCACATTTGAACTTGTCGTCTTCGTCGTCTACCGTCCTATGTCTTCGTCGACGTTCTCGAAGGCGTATGTCCCCGGGCCTGGATTTGACCTTGAGCTTTGCCCCTGCATCCATTGGTCCATGTAGGTAGTCCTTGAACCCTATTCCTTCTTTCAACATTCCGTACACTTCTAGACCCTCCTTATCCTCGGTTTCTTTCCTTAGATTCCGTTCTTCTCTCTCGGCACAAGCAACAGATATCTCCTCCTTGAACCCCTGTAGACCCTCCGTTTCTAGCCTTTCATCTTCGTCGATTTCGAACCCCTTCCATACGTCCTCTACAACCTTGACCCATTCCGTGGGTTGTCTACCCCTCTTTTTGCAATGGCCACTTCACCTCCCATACTATTATCGGCAACCTCTCCTCTCCCATCCCGATGGGGCGGCATGGGGGAGATTAATCTATTCTCCGGATCAAAGACAGAAACGGTAGCAACAGAAGAAAACTGCACACGTCTACGAAGGCTGCTACCTTGCACTCGAGTTCGTTTTGGAGTGCTTTCACCATCATCCTCCTTGCTTTCCCTGCTACCATCATTCTCATCATCAGTTTGACAGCAACTTTTCGACATTTCTTCTCTGGTCCTGCGTCTTTTGTTGCGGGGAAGGTCATCCGCCTCGAAACTCTTGCTCTCTTCCACGCTATGATGCCCTCCTCGACTGCTGTTTTGGTCCGTCTCGTCCTCCTCCCGTTCCCTCTCCTCCTCCTTCATCGCTGCCAAACGAATTCCCCTCATTGCCATCCTGGTCGTTTCTATCTGCACTACTACCGAGATCACAGCCTATTTATATGACCGTGGTGGGAATTGATCCATCAGTAGTAGTCCATGACGTTTGAAACCATCACGAGTTCGTACGGATAGAAAACGAGCCAGCTCGAAGGGTGTGTGTGTGTGTGTTCTTCGTCGCGTGGTCGATTTGCCGCGGGTGTACGCATTGTTGGAAGACTACAGCTGCATCGATACCCTCAATCGGCAGCGTGCACTGCTGTGTGACGAATTCTCTCGGTAGGCTGTAGAAGAACACGACCGCCCGATGGTCACAAGCGTTCGTGTCGTCTCGGTGATTCGTGCTGCGGCCCCTTCCCGGGGGGTCAATATATCCCACCTGTTTTCACTCGCGCTCGCCCAGGGTATTGTTTTTGTCGGCGGTTTGCGACGAACGTCTTGTGCCTGGTTCTGAATCGTTTTCTGTTGTGCCTGTTTTCGCTTGTTTGCCCCGGTGGTCGATCGCCTGTTCCACCACTTTTTTTTTTTTTTCCGGTGGCTGCCCAGTCCTCGTCGGGCTCGATCGCGGTTTGCAGAAGCACGGACAATTATATCGCGCTCAGACGGCCTTGTAGAGCATTCAGAGACAGATGTCATTGGTGGGGGAAGAGAAGATAGCAACAAACTCCGGAGAAACTGGCCTCGCTGGATCCCGCCACGCACCCACAAGAGCACGCTTCAGCAGCGAGAATCGCCATGAGGCTAGACGTCGTCTGTGGGGACGGCCCGCCTGTCTTTGAAGCCAGGCGAACCTTATTTGACGCGCTGGTGGAGGCCGACATCGAGGACCGCTACGTGCCGGAGCAGGCGGTCGTTGTTCCTGTCGAGGCTCTCCCGGCCGGTCGGTGGGGGGCTGCGACGCCCCTATCGGCGGCGGCAACAGTGGGCTCACCCGGTGAGCGGGCTAGCGGGGGTTGTGTGTGTCCTGGAGTTTTTTCGGGGGGTCTTTATTACGCCCCATGCCCACCCACCCCCTCCCTCCTCCGCCCTCCCCCCCCTCACCTCTCTCTCTCTAGTTTATTCTATTCTATTCTATTCTGTTCTGGTGTTGTCTTTGTGGTGCAAGTATGTCGCGAACCCCCGTGGCGCGCCCGGCCAGGTCGGGCCTGGTGGTCTCCCCTCATTTTTCGACTGCTGGTCTTGTTTTTTGTTTTGTTTGTTTTTCCGTTCCGCCTCGTGCGCGCGTACTGTTTGCCGTGCCAGACCTCCCCTGGAGAATCGGAATGCCCCTGCGGCCTCTCGGTCGTCTCCCGGCGCCGCCGGCACAATAGGCAGCGGCGGAGGCTCCCACCCCATGTACCCGAACGCGAGCCAACGGCCGCAGCCACGCGAGCAGCTGCAGCTGCAGCAGCATCATTGAGCAGAAGGCCACCCAATACTTGGGATAGCGCGAAAGCCGTTACCGAGGGGTCGGATGCGGTAGTGTTTCACGTTTCAGTAAGAACATGGATCTCGTGGTTTCTACTACAGCGTTAGATCGAGTACATGAACACACAACTCATGCGTTCGCATGAAAAAACACCGGAGATACATAGATCATGATTATTGTACGAGCTTGGCCAATTGCATTTGGAACAGCAGCAGCAGCTCAGAAGGGTCCTACTGTACCAATGTACTGATTTGTTCTGTGTTCAAGCAACGACGGGGTTACCGTCCTTTCTAGAAGAGAAGTAGGGTGCATTGAAAGATCTTGGATGGGGTACGGTTTGAAAGGGGTCACCCCCCCCCCGCGCGTGCGCGCCCCCTCTTCCACATAGTACACGTAGAAGCGAAACAACTTGTGTTTGTTTTGTCTCGATTGGAAAAGGGCTACGGCTGGCCTCAGATGTGAAATAGAATAGCATGGGCTATCGATGTTGTCTAGAGATAGCTGTATCCACCAAGCTCAGGTTGTGTTTGAAACTCCGAACAAGAAAAAAAAAATGGTGATTGCATTGCGAGCTCAGGGTGGGACATCAACTTCACGAATTTGCTCTTCTTTAGGTGCAAGAAAGTCTAGTACGGTCACAAATACTAATAGTGCCCCCGCAGGCCATCCTCTTCGTCAAACACATGTACGCTGTGAATCGTCAACAAACACGGGATACCACTGGGACCCTGGGAGCAGCAGTTGCCCAGGCGTTCAAAAAAGAAGTAAAAGAAGAGTTAGCTAAGCCGCACACGCGCCCCCGTTACCAGTATCTGGCTCACCCTTCCGCCACGACATCGATCGCAGAACAACAACCAATTTATGAAAGCAAATGGTTTGATGAACACATCACGCATACAGTATGTACATGCGTACATGCGTACATACCTATTTTTTTTACATTCTAGGAGGCCAGCATGATGTCTACCAGCGGGAGTGATAGCGAGCCAATGCACGCGACCATAAAAACTGTAGGCGACCCATGACCATGTCCTATCGTCACCACTACTGCACATGCAATACCTCACAAGCGTCTATCCCCCCTTCAAAGAGCAGCACTACCACGACGGCAGAATCCGATAACAATGAATGACATACGAGAGATAACCTCGAGCCATCTCGATTGTATCCGCCACGTCGAGCCATGTCTCTCCAAGCTCGTCGGGGGGCGCCCCCTCCCCCCCCCCCCCACCCTCTTTCTCATGAACCAATCAGCCGGGGCCAGGTGCATGCCTGATTGTGCCGTATTTACAGAAGGAAGACGTCCGTCTTCGGCGCCTACTCGACAACGGAGAAAGGCACGCAACGGAAGAGGGCAGACAGTGAGAACACAAAGAGCAAAACGAGACGGTGATGGCAAGACGCACTCCACGCGAAAGTTGGACGAAAAAAAGCCGAGCCCTTGCGAGACTCCCCTGCCGCAGTGTGTACCCGCTGGCCAAAGTCGCGAGGACGGTAACCTGTCCTCTATTAAACGCATAGACTACTTGTACACACGGCGGAAGCACATAGCACGTGCCATGCAACATTGAGTTCCCAAAATGTGGTGACGAATCGCATCGTGGAGGAAAGACGCGTACCCCTAAAAAAATTACGAGAAACGTTCCGCATCAGCAAGCGAGCCATCTCTCACTGCTGTACACGAGTTCACGCATGTAGCAACTTGTTCTACAGCTGCAGTATCGTACTGCTGGCCGTCTGGGAAGCGAAACCTCTTCCACCCTTTTCAGGGATAGGTCCTGGCTCACCTGCCGAATGACTTCACGCTCCGCCAAGACAACGATCTTGCCGCAAAGTTCGGGACAGGACTCCCGACAGATTTGTTCCACACTGGAGATGGTCACAACGTCGACGCGGTCGGTCGTAGACGTGACCGATTTAGTCGGCATGAGTGTCGCACGCAATCGGGGAAGTTGGGTTAGGGATAGGGTTAGGGATAGGGTCTGCGTATCCCCTCTCTGTTCTATTTCCTCATAAGTCAAATTTCTCTTGAAGGAGATCCGCGCACATGGTGGGGGGCAGGTACACACACTTATGTACCCTCCCGCGGTTCGTGCACTATCATTTTCGACGAGGACACTGTCACCGAGCAGGGGAAGAGAAGCTGCCCGCGAACCAGGTTCGATAGAAGAAAAACAATATTTCTTTTTTGACCTCAGTCCTCGGCTACATCACGGACCGTGCCCCTTTGTCCCAACCGGTCGACAAGCGCATTCCAACCGCTGGCTTCTCACCCCTTCGTACGGAGACCTTCGTCCACGAACAGCTCGAGAGGAAGAGGCATGCCCGTGAGGTCGTCCGTAAGGATGTCCTTGATGCCGATAGTTCGAACCCTGAGCTTCTCGAGAACTCCTGTCGAGCCACACCGACCGCAGCGCGCACACATCGCGAAGAAAAACTGTAAATACCGGGGGCACCGACTGATACAACAACTGACTCCGCGGACTGAACTGCTAGCGACCATTTCATCGTGGGCCAACTGATGCAACAACTTGACATCGGTGTCCGAGGACGGGCAGCACTGGGCCTTTCAACACTGCTTGTGCCGGGTCGGCTAGTCACCAGACCGCTTCGACGGACGACGCCACCGCACGTCACACCCCGCCCCATAGTCTCACCCCCCCCCCCCCGGCTGGCGACTAGAATCCTACGTAGGCACCGTTGCCGTGGTGCTTGTCGGCCAAAAGGCCGATTGCGGTCGAGGCATGACATTCGTGCGACACCAGAGGGACCATGTGCCGCGCGGGGCGGGGTCTGTGAACACGCGACCGATCGTTCTCTCTCCGCCTATGGTCGTGACTCCGACATGATAGAGTACGCCATAAGAGGGGGCTTCGATATACCGTATACGACACAAGATAACACACCCCCTCGACCGATTTTCAAAGCTCGATTACTCTACGACGAAGAGGATGCACAAACGAAATGATACATTTTCGGAAAGCTCTCGACAAGGCGGCGTCAACGACACCATTTTCGGCGCTGTGACTCTCTCTGCTGTGGAGAAATCGAGCGTTGAAAATCGGTCCAGGGGGTGTGTTATTTTGTGTCGTATACGGTAAGAGGGTCGAAATCGGTTGTCACGAACTCGACCCGCTATAATATAATTGGGTGCCCTCTTACTCCGGTGTAAGAGGGGGCTCCGATATAAGACGGTCAAGGGCCTTTGTCACACCAGCCTATTCTATCGGAGCCACGACTGACTGTACCCTGTTCCGCCTCTCCTCTCTCCTGCATCGCTAGCTCCCGGGTGACGCGTGTTTTACGCGGAGAAAGCGATCTCACCGTTGGGGTGCTGTTCCACCCGCTGCACGTAAGTGATGGAGGTCATGGCGTCGCCGGGACGGAACGGGTTGATGAAGTTGGCGTACATTAGCTCCTCGTGGAGAACCTGGACGAGAGGGATTGGAGGGGAGGGAGGAGGGAATGAATGCGAGAGAGCGAGAGGGTGTGCGCGTACGAGAGAAAGAGAGAACGTGAGCGTACGATAGAGGGAGAGAGAGAGAGAGAGAGAGAGAGAGAGAGAGAGAGAGAGAGAGAGAGAGAGAGAGAACGAGAGAGACAGAGACAAAGAGAAGGCGTGAAAGAGGGGCACCATAGATAGCGAGATGACCTACTTAGATACAAACGTATACTTCGACTTGCCAGCTAGGGCTGCCGTGATTCGGCTGTTTCCCACGACATCGGCGATCGATGCCCTCACCTCATTTTTTACCCATCTTCAACTCTCGACCAACCGTGTATACGCTTAAACGCGCCCACAAACATAGGAACTGTTTGTGAGCACGTCCTCCAACGCAGCGGGCCCGACACAACGCAGAGATCCGCTGAAACCACTTTGCATGACATCTACAACACCCGCTCGGTCCGACCACAAAAAACACAATGCTACACCCAACAACCCGCAACATTTCCCACTCAACCCTGGCGTTCGCCAACGGGGCACTGCTGAGAGAGACCCCAACCAGCCTGCTACGTTTCTCTTCCACACCTCGTGGAGATCTCTCGCGGACAGGGACGTGGCGAGAGCAACGATCAATCCCGCAGGGATGGCGAGCCCGTCCTCGCCGTGCTTGACCGTGTCGAAGTGCCGCGAGTGGGTCAGACGGGCCAGGCTGGACAGCTCCATGGACTGGGTCCTTGAGATTGGGCGTGCTGCGAAGACGACGGGAGCGGCGGCGGGGGGGGGGGGTGCGGGGTGCGGGGGGGGGGTGCGCAAGTAAAACAAATATATGGGCTTCAGGACGAGCACACGGAAAAACAATACTCCAACATCTTCCAAGAGATTCCATGCAGTAACACAATCGCAAGCTTTTCTCTGATCGATGCGAGCGCTTACCCTTAACCAGGATGTTGACACCATACCTCTTACGCTTCGATCCGATGAGGGGGAAGACATTTAAGACGATTGTAAGGAAAATCTTGCTCTTTGCTGTATTGCTTAAACAGGAAGAACAACACGACCACCAACAGTGCAAACTCCTGTTCGTGAACCACCAAGACAGTCGAGCGCGCTCACATCCAAAACTGACCATAGAACCAGCGGGTTGGTTCGAGGGATTCGGATTGAGCCAGGCCAGCGAAGAGCCACAGCGAAGCACAACTCAGCCGCGGATGCAACTTACAGCATCTTGTGGGACATAGACCGGCCGGGATGCGATTGTATGATAATCTCTTTAGCACACACTCCACCCCGACTCGCTTCGAGCGCAACGTCAACACGCAGATTCATCAGGCTTCGCGATTTCTCCGTTTGTCATCGCCGACTAGGGCGTCGGCAGCCCCCACGGGCAGCATGGTATGTGCTTCGGATTCGGGGTGTTTCACCTCACCTGGGGTGTGGATGATCAGTTGCCCCGCGCTGAACCGTCTGAGCGTCTGCCCTCCCAGCTCGGCTGCCGCGCGCATGTCAAACAAAGATGGGACGGAGCAACCCCGCGAATGTAGCCAGGCGTTCACAACACGAAACAACAACAACAACAACAACAACAACAACAACAACAACAACAACAACAACAACAACAGCAGCAGAGCAACAACACCGTCGTCGCCGCATCGCAGAGCCTTCAAGCCTGTTCCGCCACGCCGGCACATAGCACCGGCGAAACTCTTCATGCTACGAGACACTTAGTTTTCGTAAGGAACCGAGGCTCAGATTTTAGGACAAACTTAATAGAAACGCCCTAAGAAATTGATCATAGCGGTCGCCCAGTGGTGGGGACAAAGCAAGGTTTGAGCCTCGCATAAAATATCCTCGCTAAGAAGTAGGTGTTTCTTGTGAGCGGGCCCGCACTGTTGTACTACGTACTCGCGGGCGGCGACGCTTGCCGCGCAAACGAACGGCGGCAGCCGCACCAAAACCCAACCCCACGCAAGCCTCACCCAGCTTTTCCGACTGCTTCACCACGTGGTCACGCAGCCTGTCCGCAGGCTTGGGAGGCGGCTGCTCCTCCGGCGTCGCCGTGGAGTCCCTCGGGCTAGGCGGGGCGAAGAAGGGAAACATCGTTGTCCTGTCGCACTCCATGCACACCTTCCCGCGCTGGTTCACTAGGCGGCAGGTGAAGTCGTAGGTGCTTCTCTCCTTGTCGCTCGTGTTGCGGATACCCTTGATCTCGAACGCCTTGGTAAACGTGTCCCCTGCGTGAGGTTCGACGGCAACGCAGTGGGTTGGGGAGGAAGGGGGGGGTGATGCACTAGCGGAGGTTGCGCGTGCCTAGGTACCTTTGCGAGAGAAAGCAGTGGGGACGTTCAGTAGTGCGGCTATGTACCACCCAATTTTACCGGCACGAAAGTGGGCCCCGGAACTAGGCAGGGTATGAAATAACTTGACCATTCGATCTGCGTCACGCGATTCCACGGACGCAATAGTGCACCCGGCACTACTCAACTGGCCCTGCTGAACCCCGTCTACCGCATCAGACATTTAACAAATGTTTCCCCTCGGAAGTTCCATTTTTGCAACAGCAATAACTAACACAAAATCTCGAATGATGGTCTCTCGTTCCGGTTCAAGCTGAGACATTCTTCCCAAAACCTCAAGAGTACTCGTGGGCACGACGTGTTGGACCGAGCACCACGTCAAACCGCAAGCAACCGCCGTAGATCAGCAATCTCCTGGGCTGGTCCTTTCAAGAGCCCGCCACAATTTTCTCGACAATGGGCACTCTCGCTACCGTTTCAGGATACACAACACGCACCCACGTAGATCTCGGAACCAAGGCCCTTGGGGGCTAGGCACGCTGAGCCACGGGGCACGGTGTTGTAAGAAAGGAGAGACAAATTACCTGCGAAGCCGGGCCACAGGTACCTGGCGTTCCGGTACGCCACCTGTGTCATCGCGGCTTCCACGTGCGACATGCTTGAAGACAGGAAGAGCATGAGCGAGAACGGCAGCACCTGCCGTCGACAGGAAAACGGACGGACGCATCACGAGAATTAAGGAACGCGCGAAACCAACATCCCCCCTTACACTTGGCGTAGCCTCGTGGCAATTGGATGGCACTAACGACGTCCCTACGCAACTCCTGAGAAAACTTAGGCAGGGGTCCGAAGAACCGCACTGCAGCTTGGCATGGTTTTCATCGTGACGCTCCTCGACGTTGCACTTCGGCGGGGGGCAAGACCGTGTGCGGAGGTCTGCTGATAATATGGAATATGGACAACACGCGGCGGGACGCGGGCGCTACTGATGTATGTGTACTAACTTCGGCGGACACCCAAGATATGTCATACATGCCTGATCTTGAAGCCCCAACGATCTTGCGAAAGGCGTGGATGTGTTGATCCTGTCGTGCGTCGAGAAAGCAGCCTGCCAAAAGTCCCGCAGCCTGTACGGGTGGGAGTAAACACGCACGCACACACGCCCGTCGCAATTGTGCTACACTTGTGTTTAAAAGCGTGGTAAAGACGTGGATCCTCTGCAAAAGACAAGTTGCCGGCCACACTCGATTGCTGTCCAAGTGGAACGTGCACCAGTCTCGACCTCCCGTAGCTCTCAAGGACGACCTCGAGGGCTGGCTCTTGGTGCCGTTGATGGAGTCCTACGGGATACCCCACCGATACAGAACGCTCCGAGAGCATAAAACAGACTACGCATAGTTTGCCTCCGAGCGTTAGCCGGCTTCCCCGCGGCCTTCCTGCCAACTGTTATGTGACGGCGCCCATAACACGACCTAAGCCCCAACCATTTCCAATCACGTCCGCGCGTCTTGGTAGGGTGCTACAACCGCACCAGGGGGAGTACGCGACAGAAGGCCACGCCGTAACCCCTCTAGAGTTAGCCGGCGTCCGGGGGAGTGTGGGCGGGGAATCGGAGTGAGTGCAGACAGGTAAGGACACCCTGGAGATGAATGGCATGGACGGCGAGCTCTCTTTGGCGTCGTTGATGCATTACCGATCGTGGGATAGCTCGATCTGTCGCCCGTGATATCGGACGAAAGCTTTTGCCCATCACCAATGTATATCCGGACCTATAACAGACTATCCCCGCACATGTACCATGGTTGAATGGGCTACGAAATGGGTTCGCGGCAGACGTTTGTTTGGTGCTGTTGTGCAGCTGCAAGAACATTTCACCGGAAAAAAAAACAAACTCGACGACGTTCGTTGCTCAACCACCCTAAGCAGCAGCTATAAACGTTTCCTCTTCGCGCTTACATAGGCGACGATAGCGCCTTTCCACGATTTTCTCCGTTTTGGATCACTCAAACAGGTGCTAGGTTTGCGGCAATGGCACCCAGTCACTAGCCGCATCGTCACTGGACGACTTCCACAGTCTATAGAAGCCGAAATCAAACCAATTAGACTAGTAGTCAGCGCTGACGACTAGTTTAATTGGTTTGATTTCGGTTTCTGTAAGTCCCACTCTCCCCGCTTTTCGTAGCGTGTCGATGCGTCGATGCGTGAGGACACGCGAGCGTTTGGCTGCTTGCTACAAAACACACACCGTGGTTTGGGCCACGAAAGAAAAGGGGTGGCGTGTGTGCACAGGGTGCGATGGGTGGGTGGCGCGCGCTGTAGTCCCCCAGAAATTTAGCTCGAAAAAAACGGCAAACTTTGTGCGACCTTGTCATCGTGCACCACGCACGTTGTATCCCATATCGCATCGATATATCGGGGTTATCCGATACATACGCCGATATTGCATTGGTATCGCATGACACTGGATATGATAGCAAACGACAGCTGGATATCGTACCCACATCGCGAGGGTTGAGGCTAGATACTACTGTTACCGTATCTTGGCATTTTCAAATGCGATACTAATACCGAATACGAGGGTTAGATTTAGGAACAGAGCTCAGCTGAAGGTCAAAATTTGGAATTGACTGCTGTCATCGGCCTTCGTGAACGAACGCAGACGAAGATTTAGGAAGGCAGACGAGGATGGCGCCAAGTTCAAGGAGTGTGAATGCGGCTCCCAGTGCGAAGGCCGGGTTGTCATGTAGTTGCATGTATATGCATGTATCTAGATAGGATACGAAACATTTTTGTTGGCAAAGTAGGAAGGGACGATTGGGCATCGCTGATCCGTGATGGGTTCTGTGCGAATAATGTCACAATGCTCCCTCTAGAGACGCGTGGTCAATGGTCTAACCACTAAGATAAGGCACAAGGCACGCAAAACATGAGTAGTACGCCCCCCACCCCCCCCCACGACATGCACACAGAGCACCACCGGGAGCGACGGGAGAGAGAGAGAGCAGGAAAAATGGTCTTAGAGAAAATGAAGCGGACCCAAGGATACATTGCACAGCAGAAGATACCGCGGGGGACAAGCTGCTTGGCGGGGACACAGGAAATTGATGGGGAATCCAAAAGGAAAAGTCCCCGGGGCGGAAAGACCCCGGCCGGGCAGGAAAGCCTTTTGAGAGGAGGAAGACATGAGAAAACGAGAATATGTGTACAGCTCTACAATAGTCTAGATATCTATGCTTGCTGTGTTACCGCTACGTCCCTGCAACGCATAAGCAGCCCACCCTTCGAACGCCTCTTGTGCTTGCGCCTGCCACGATAATATCGGGTCTCTCCCAGCATCTACTGATTCAATCACCATGCATGGGAGAAAGTCTTCGCGAGGCAAAGGATCGACAACAACACGCGGATGGAGCTGCCTCTCTGACCTGTTCGGACTGGTCTCAAAACCGAACCTGTTTCGGTGAAAAGACTGAGACATGCACCGGAACAACAATTACAATTCGTCCCCGGCCTCGGCTAAACTCTAACGGGACCGCGACTGGGAGGACCAGGTTGAGGATCACACTCACGGCGGCTGCCAGTTCTTTTTAGCGGGCCGGCCGTCGCCATGTTGGTGCGGGGGGCAATCTCTCTCAAGAAATGTGTTTTGCGGACTGACTCTTTGCAGACAGCAGTGGAGCTGCAGCAGATTTCTCCAGCGGCCGCTGCGCCGCTGCAGACTCTATATCCTAGGAAAATATCTACAGTACAGGGCTGCGGTTCCAATCCCACACGCACATAGAGCGCGGCGTTTTGAAACTGTGCTAATAATCTCATTCACTGGTGAGGCAGCAGCAGTGACACCTGAATCTGGAGATCGCTGCGGAATCGGAATGGCACCCATTTCCCCCGGGTGGATGGAGGGCACACATGCAATGCATACCTGCATACTCAAACGTACATGTTGGATTTAGACTACATTGTGTGTGTTCTATTTCAACACAACCAAAGTGTAGCTCGCAAGCATCCGACCGTTCAACCTGACAAACACCACTCACCCATATCCGACCGTAACCTCATAGGGAATGCGAATGGTATCACCAGGCCGAAGCCGCTTCACATTCACCGCATGCTCGAGAACCTGAGCGCATGGCAGGGGTGTGGTTCAGACAAGTCGCGGAGTGGAAGTTGAAGCAGGAACTGCCGTGCTGCTGATGATGTTGCTGCTGCTGCTGTAGATGACATATCCTATTTTACTACTTGTGACAGCGTGCTTGCTGCTATCTCCTACGTTGATCTAGCGGGAAAGTGAAGTCGTGTGGTGTGCTTGGACGGATGCCCGCCGAAAACAGACGTGTCGTGGATCACTCAAGGAATGTGCTCATAGAGGCAGTAAAGTACAATAATAATAGAGAAAACTCCGCCTCACCCTCCCAAGCACGCGTCCAGATTTGTGTGTTGTGTCGCCTTCCACGTATTCCGCTGTGTAGAACGATAGACGTCGACGCTGACCCAGCGATCTGCCAAGTCGCAGCATGACGAGGAAGGTGCTGGTAACGGACGGAGATCAGGTGTGCACGAATGGACAGCACAGCAGAGGAGGAGGAGGCAGCTCACATGATGATGCTGGATGCCGATGAGATTACGGCGGGAAAACGGATTTTTTTTTTTTATCATTTTCTTTTTCTGGCGATCCACACATGGCTTATGTATCATCATCTGCAGCAAGCAGAGTACGTGCCTGTGACTCTGTGACTGATGATGATGATACCTCACATAACTATAATCTGGATATATATTTAGAAGCAAATAAATAGAGATCTTTGCAGGCGTGTGGTCGTCGTACTTGTTGTTGCTGGTGGTGGAGGTCATGGAACATATTGGCGACCTGCATCCACATGGATTTTGACATGATGATCATTTATTTGTTTCCAAGAAGAAGGCGGTGTGTGACTTCTGACAACAGAGAAACTCTGTTTGGCACGTGCTTATTAGCCTAAAATGTGAGACTTGGACGCACATATTCTGAGTGTCTTTCGGCTCCGATTGTTTTGGCGACAAATCATGATGAGGAGGAGAGCTGTGAAATGGCAGCAGCGGCAAGAAGAGGTGATACCGATGCGCGGCGGACGGGTCAATACACAGCCATGCGAATCTTTTTGGTGTGGAGACTGACGATCTCAGATGATGTATGTATTAGATTGTAGTAGAACAGAAAAATTTGTGGTAACGAAAGATATTGGGCTATTGGATTGGACGGAGGGGGGCCACGCATCCAGAGAGGAAGGGGATGAGGGGGTATGCCTAAACTTGTCTCTGTTTTTGTTGTGGTTGTCGTGCACAGTGCACAGCACGCAAGAGGGTCAAACAACCAAGCAGCATCCATCGCCAACGCACCGTGCCAGAGAGGGAAAGGGCCTGGGCTGGCCGATCCCCCAACAGAGGCAGGATCCGCGGGTGTGTGCGCCGAGACTCGACCAGGATCCAGCTTGCCTAGAGCCTAGAGTGCCCGTCGACTGGCTGGTGCTGCCGGTGCTGCTGCAAAAAAAAAACAAATTTTATCACAACGCACAGGCCGCGTACCACGGGAGTGGGAAGAGCTAGCGAGCGAGACGACCCAAGACACCGGACGGAGAGAGACGGAAGAGAGGAAGGCAAAAGCAAGCATGCACGACTCTCACAGGTGTGTTTTACACGCGGGGCGCTTGGTTGCGGCGTCTTTCGCGCGTGTTGGAAGTGTTCGATCCCGGCGTATTTCTCTCAGCAAGTGATGCTGCTGTTGTTATCTTGCTCAAAGAAAGAGGGCCGCGAGAGGGATGGAGAGCTCAACCCGTTGATCCTTCCTTTCCCCGGAGCGAAACATTCGAGGTGTGTGTGTCCGCACACCTCGGGATCTTTGCCAACAAGCGGGTGCAACCTGGCCTTCGCGCGGGCGGTTCGAACAGATTGCAGCAGACCTGTGGTGTGGCTGTGCCAATGTGGGTGTCGGGTTCCTCGGCCATTCTCTCGTCCCGCGTTTGTCCGGTTGTGTCTGCGTGATTCCGTTTTTGTGACATGAGACGCATTTTTTTTTTCCGCCGTGATACACGCCGGGCACCACCACCCTGAAAAATCATAGGCGATGCGAGCACAGCGGGTGCACCAAGTGGCCACTCTATGCGTTCGAGGGAGAGAAGGCCAAGTACTGCTCCCAGCACAAGGTGGGTGAGGTTGCCACCACGGCGGTAGGTGCCGTGAGCCCACTTTTACCGACCCGCTGTGGCGTGGGTAAAAAGAGAAGCGAAAGGGTCCGTCTTCGAAACTCATTTCTCTAGCGAAGGGTGTGCAACAACATCTGCAAATTTCTGCACGCACGCGGGGTTTGGCAATTTTTTCTTTTCTTGGCTGCTGGTGTATGTTTGTTGCTCTTTCACCGCGAGCTTTTTCCTCTGCCTGCCGCCCACCGCACATGATAATGCAACGCCTCGAAACCAACCCCGCCCTCTCCTCTCTCTCTCTCTCTCTCTCCGGTTTGCGATGGCGCAGGATGAAGGAATGGTGGACGTCAGGAGCCGCAGGTGCCAGGAGCCATCGTGCACCAGGCAACCGAGCTTCGGGTTCGAGCACCAAAAACCCAGGTTTGGGGCAACAACAACATGACGGCTATTTTATTTTCGGATCTGAATAATTTTTTGTGGAGTTCGCATATGCCCTGTCTACCGGCCCTCCGAATCTGCCGACCCCGGACTTGCGAACGAACACACGGGCGCGGGCATGAATCGTACCGTTGCCAGCGTTGATACAACCTGTTACGTCGACCTCTAGCTTCTACACCCGCAGCGGCTCCTGTTGGCGTCGAATCTCCCGGGGGTGCAGCAGGGTGGCACGTGCCATCTCACCGACCGCCATGGTTACTTCCTCACTCAAATCTGTCCGCCGGAGAGATGTCTGTATGTACCACAGGGTCACACCCGTGTGAGGAACGAGATGGATTTTTCAGATTATTTTTGGATTCCGAGCCGAAATCTGTCTCAGATCTGCCGCGCCGGTGCTGCCGTCCCAAATACCCCGGTCGGCGTGCCTCTACGCGTCCCAGGGGCGTGAGCTCATGGAAGGATAATTCGGTCTTTGGCATGATCTGAGGGTGGTGGCCAACCGTTCTATTGCCCTCGAGGCAGGGGGGAAGGAGGGTTGCTCCGGGCGTGGCATTTTGTTGTGCAAGTCTTGCCTTTTTTTGTGGCTTCCGGTCTGGCCTCAATTTTTCGCAACAGCATCTGCTGCTGGCTGCTGGAGATACAGATTCCATCGCCCATGCCAGCCAGCATATAACGCATTCGTTGAATAATAGCGTCGAAAGAGGCTTTGCCTGCTGCACGACCTCAAACATGTGGGCAGGATTGTTTCCCCACTCCCCACTGCAAAATAGCCAGCGCGCAGCGTGGGTGATTTTCCTAACCATGTACATATGCCCAAACCTGCAACTGCCTGCCAGCAACAGCAGCGCACAGCTGTTGACACGTTTCAACATCTACAAGTAGCCGACACCACCGACATGCAGATGTTTTTTTTTTCTGGCGCTAGAACCAGTGTGTGGCTTGTTTGCAAATTTCCAATTTCCGCACGCAACAACATAGGTCTGTAGTCCCGGTCCGTAGCGCGACATGGCACAAATCCCTCGTTCGTCGTTCAATACGGACGCCGCGTATGATTACAATATACAGCTGTAATGCGATTTCGCGAGCGAAAAAAGTGTGCCGAAAATGCATTTCATGGGTTCTCTGTGCGCTACCCACATACCTGGTACGCCTTATCTTCGTTCTTTGGCTTCTTGGCCGACTATCTTTCCTCTCCAATTTGTTGTGGTGGTCTTCACATCAAAAAGAAAGTCACTCAGGTTTAGAGGAGAATTCTTTGTCGATATCATCCCGGGGGACCGGACTCTCATCAGTGGAAACCTGCATGTATGCTGTCGAGATGTGTTCCGCAAGAAAAAATTAACAGCACACGGCCTGTTGGTGTTCCGCCTTGTTTCCGTTCCACCATCTCTCGATTTTACGTTTTACTGCTGTGCCTCGTATGTATGCATATGGGCGTGGGCCGCCGGTTGTCTGTTGGGCGCGAGGACTAACCACACGTTCGAAGTTGACCCCATCAGGAGGAATATTCTGCCCTTTGAGTTGTGCATTGAAAGTATCGTATGTTGTTTGTCGAACGGACATGGACTATCTACTGCTGCTGTGCCTGCCGGCTTGACCTTCACACGACAAGAGACGACTTTGCAAGTGCGAAGAGTCAGCTCTGAAACCAAGACTGGCTCTTTCAACTCGCCAATCAGCAGAAACCCAAGAGTTTCCCTTGTCCTGCCGCCGCGACATCAAATGATGATGCTCCTATATATTTTTTCTGGTACAATGCATATGCTACTGCTGCTGACTGCTGTGCTATGCATATATGCATGCAAGGAAAGAATTGCAGACAGAACGTAACGTATGATCACAACCCTGTCTGTTCCTCTTACGCGATGGCAACAGGTTCTGTGCGGCCCACAAGGACGTCGGGATGGTGGATGTGGTTAGCAGGCGATGCGAGGAGACCGACTGCCGGAGGCGGCCCCTTTACGGTCACGAAGGAGAAAAGGGCCGCTTCTGCTCATACCACAAGGTTGGCACCCGTCCACGTCACTGCTGTAGCTACGGTAGTTCCACGAGGTGTTGGATGTCACCCCCCCTACATACTTGTGTGGTATATGCCCTACAACCGGTAAACCAATCATGTAGAGGATTCCGGGGCGGGGACGCGGGAGGCTAGCCCGCCGGTGGTTGTAAAAAATGTCGGTTGTGTAAATTTTCGCCGAAAATGACAGATTACGTGGTTCTAACTTTTACCCTTTGGTCACCGTGGGGTGTGAAAAGTTCCAACATGCGTGCCAGTCGATGTCGATTTTTGTGGCTGATTTTCGAAAACAACCAAGGGAGCACCCAGCAATCACACACCGCGAGTCCAATAATCTGTATGCAGGGCGGTGCTCTCGTTGTTTGGATTGCGATTTGACTGACACGGAACGGGGTGTAGAGCAGTTGTGGCGTCGGCCTCTTCCTCCTTCTCGTTCTCCTGTTTTTCGTTCTGATCGTATTCAGACGCATCCTTCACAAATTGTCAAAAATATCTCTGCTGGAATACCGTATATGACACAAGA